TCACAAGAGATGAGAAAAAGATTACTTATAAAAATTCTAGAACATATTTCTCGTATTTAAGTAATGACAAAAATTAAACTAATGATTTTTCTACTAAATTCGGAACGCTTGTATTTGTTCAACGTGAAAAAACGAAAAAAATTTTAAAACATTTGTAAATTATGCAAGATGTTATAATATAGGTATTCTTATAGAGATATGTATGTATTTTTTGAGATACAGGGTGTCGAAATTAAAATAAAATATCGTACTTATTTAAATATCTCTTAAGATATTTGACGTTAATTGTAGAAACTTGGGATAATGATTTAACTAATTATGGGTTGCAATTTGCTGAGTTGTTACATAAATCAACTAAACTAAAGTCAACCGTTGGGGGATATACTGAGAAACACTGTCACAGCTGCTGAATATTTTGTCAAATTAGAAATGTACATTTAATTTCGAAGTGATCTTTTATATTAGTCGAAAAAGGAACCAGTTCTCAGATAGTTCTCTAACGATTTTTGTTGATATCTGAATATTACATTGTTTTTTTAAATTTCATTTGTAATAAAAAAATAGTGTTTTTTTTTCATAAAAGAAGAGTTTTGGAGTTTTTTATATTTTCTATATGATAGGTTTGTAAAAAAGGAATACCCAAAAGTAACTCATTTTGGAATAAAACGGAAAATAATTTTTTGTAAATAAAAAGGATTTGCCTCTAAAGCTGTACTTACTTTAACTAAGTCGTTGACCTATCTCTCAACAGTCTACATCAAGATTATCTTAAGAGATATTTAAATAAATTGGATATATTTTTTAAATTTCAACGGCCTGTATACAGGGTGGTCCGAATTTTATGCAGGAAACTTCTAAGGCAGATAGATCTCTGTGCCTTATAAACAATGGTCTGGAACAACCCCGTTTTAGAGATACAGGGATATTTCCGGAATCTATTTACCGATCTCAATAAAATTTGGTACAGATAATGTATGATAGTACTTAAGCATTCCCTAAAATATAAGCTCTAAGGGTATAACCAATGATGTACAACTGAGCAGGGGTCATCTCCTTTTCTATAAAAAAATATATTTATTAAGATTAAGATTAAGATTTTTAAATTAAGAGTAGTTAAGATATTCTCCATACTTTATTTTAATTTCTAATAATATTTCAATTTTCTACTTCTGTGTAACCCATTTTTAATTAAATAATAATGCAAACTGTCAAACAATATCAATGTTGTCGTAATATTACCTGTCACTGTCACGGACTACCATATAACATTGTCCATGAGTAAATAGGCCTCACACGGTCTAATTAGTGAGATTTAGTTAAAAAAACCTCCTATACCCATTTTGGACTATATAAATGTTCGATATGTCAAAATATATTACAAATAAATATAAATCCTTTTGTAATTGAAAAAAAGGCAGAAATGCCTGAAAGACGTCCAACAATTACAAAATATCTTATTTTCTTAATAAAAAAGCTTCTTTTCGTTTTTTAATATTATCTGGCTTATTGTTAGAGATGGACTCAACAAACCATATATGACTGTACTCGGCAGGGAACGTTCTATCCAAATATGTAAAAATATACAGAGTGTTCCATTTAAATTAACAAAGTTAACATCCGCGGCCATTTTGTTTGAATTTCATTTGTTTTTCTACTATCATTTTCGAAAACTTCATAAAAATTCGTGCAACTTTTGTAGTTCGCATTCTTTTATAACTCTTAAAACAAAAAAGTTAAAGGGGGTTCAAAATATAGTCAATCACCCTGTAAAAAATTTTGTTGATGTGCTTACAAATTCCACTTATTTTTAAGCATAAACATAAATATTCTTGTAATATTATGGTTAGAAATGTCTGCATAAGCAGTTGTATTGGTATGAATAATTTGAAAACGGCGAATCTTAGGGAAAAATTTGAAGTTACAATAACTTGTAAAAAATGCAGTGG